AATTTTTAGAAGCACAGTACAAACTAATAACACATTTATCAATGTGTAAGTGTTTATTTAATCAAGCTTGTCGCCATGATGTCAAATTTCTCTATCAGAATGAGCGATGACCGTCTTTGTCGGGGAAAAACAATGGTATCTAAACGCTTATTTTATTTATACCGCTTAAAAAAAACAGGTTACACCACTGCCGTGATTAGGGTATCTGAACGCTTATTTTATTCATACCACTTAAAAAAATAAGGTCGTCACCAGAATTCAAGGGTCAGTCGGGTGATCGGAACCACAACATTTTTTTTAAGCCTAATTAGGTTCAGGGACTGCCAGACAGACTAGTTGGCTTATAGAAAAATGAATGAGTTGGGCTTAAAGCTGTTTGAATGGTATATTGTATGACCTATATCACACTGTGCCTGCTCAATGGGGCAGGAAATCCCCAAGTCATTTAGGTCTCACACTTTACCTCTTTGGTAAAACCTGTCAGTATGGGTAGGTCGCTGAATATTCTATAAACACGATCGGAGCAAAGAAAGATTAGTGATGAAATCAGTCAGTAAACAACTTAACTGCTGACTTGACAATTTTTAAAGTCAAAGTGACAGCTTCTGTTGTGAGGAAAATCAACAGTGATTCAGGTCTGAGATGTTTATGGAATAAACCATCACTTGCACAGTGCTGACAAAAGGACAAAACTGGGACAAGAACACATGATACAGGATACTGGATGTCCAAAGGGAGACAACCCTGTGTCACCAATGTGTCAGTGCATAGCCTCCTCTAGACTCCCCCCTTTCATCCAGCTAGAGCTAGCCTGTGCTCATCCTAACATTCTCTGGCTCTCTGGGTTCACGTGTTAAGACATCTTTAAGCACATATTATAAACATAGCGACAATAAAGTTAATATAGTATGAATTGGTTTAGCTTTTTAGAGAAATGTCTGTAACACAACCTCATTTTTATCTAGTACCGATGAGCATGTTTAGCATTGTAAAATGTGCATGTGTATAGATATGACATTAAAGGACACATGCATATTTTAACTGCAGTTAAACTCCCATATTCCTCTGTACATCACCCAATTTCTGCTATCCGACTCACAGAACCACAGCTGATCCTCGAAACTAAGGGAGAGAACCCACAACAATGCATGAGCATTACCCAAATAATGACACCTTTGATTGAAAAATAAAGCCTGGGGTTTTACACATCTTACAATGCTATTCCCATGATATCCTAGCAGACACACACCACAGAAGGGCTTCACATCTTGTACACATGAGGAAATAAGTCTGTTAAGTCTACACCAGGAGGACACCCATCTGTTCAGCGTTAGCTGTATACCTCACGGTGCAGGTACAGCTCACAGACGTACAGCTCACAGACGTGTGTACATAGTGATACTTCAGCAACCTTTTTAGACTAGTTCATGGGTCAGATTTTGACTGGCTAGGAAATGCATGTTTTTTCAAGACTGGTACAAAGGGCTTATGTAAACATTATTACACTGGAGCTTTGAGTTTGTACCTAGCCCTGCTTGAACGAACCAAAATAGTTTCCAATGTTTACATGTTCTGTCAGTTTTATTCAGTTCCAATTTCAAGCAAAATTTAATGTCGAGAGCTTGTTCAGAATTACAGCTACCACTAAATGAAGACTGCCATGACTGGACCTACTGGCACTCGTCCCAGTAGGGTCAAGCTAGCAGACGTGTGAAGTCTGAAGGATTCATGACAGTCAATCACAGTAGGGTCAAGTTAGCAGCTGTGTGAAGTCTGAAGGATTCATGACAGTCAATCACAGTACGGTCAAGCTAGCAGCTGTGTCAAGTCTGAAGGATTCATGACAGTCAATCACAGTAGGGTCAAGCCAGCAGACGTGTGACCTCTGAAGGATTCATGACAGTCAATCACAGTAGGGTCAAGCCAGCAGACGTGTGAAGTCTGAAGGATTCATGACAGTCAATCACAGTAGGGTCAAGTTAGCAGATGTGTCAAGTCTGAAGGATTCATGACAGTCAATCACAGTACGGTCAAGCTAGCAGCTGTGTCAAGTCTGAAGGATTCATGACAGTCAATCACAGTAGGGTCAAGCCAGCAGACGTGTGAAGTCTGAAGGATTCATGACAGTCAATCACAGTAGGGTCAAGCCAGCAGACGTGTGAAGTCTGAAGGATTCATGACAGTCAATCACAGTAGGGTCAAGCTAGCAGATGTGTGAAGTCTGAAGGATTCATGACAGTCCATCACAGTAGGGTCAAGCTAGCAGACATGTGAAGTCTGAAGGATTCATGACAGTCCATCACAGTGGTTTCAAGCCAGCCGACGTGTGAAGTCTGAAGGATTCATGACAGTCAATCACAGTACGGTCAAGCTAGCAGACATGTGAAGTCTGAAGGATTCATGACAGTCCATCACAGTGGTTTCAAGCCAGCAGACGTGTGAAGTCTGAAGGATTCATGACAGTCAATCACAGTACGGTCAAGCTAGCAGACACGTGAAGTCTGAAGGATTCATGACAGTCCATCACAGTACGGTAAAGCTAGCAGACGTGTGAAGTCTGAAGGATTCATGACAGTCCATAACAGTGGTTTCAAGCCAGCAGACGTGTGAAGTCTGAAGGATTCATGACAGTCAATCACAGATGTAGGGTCAAGTTAGCAGACACGTGAAGTCTGGAAGGATTCATGACAGTCCATCACAGTGGTTTCAAGCCAGCAGGCGTGTGAAGTCTGAAGGATTCATGACAGTCAATCACAGTACGGTCAAGCTAGCAGACACGTGAAGTCTGAAGGATTCATGACAGTCCATCACAGTACTGGTAAAGCTAGCAGACGTGTGAAGTCTGAAGGATTCATGACAGTCAATCACAGTACGGTAAAGCTAGCAGACGTGTGAAGTCTGAAGGATTCATGACAGTCCATAACAGTGGTTTCAAGCCAGCAGACGTGTGAAGTCTGAAGGATTCATGACAGTCAATCACAGTACGGTCAAGTTAGCAGACGTGTGAAGTCTGAAGGATTCATGACAGTCAATCACAGTAGGGTCAAGCTAGCAGACGTGTGAAGTCTGAAGGATTCATGACAGTCAATCACAGTACGGTCAAGTTAGCAGACGTGTGAAGTCTGAAGGATTCATGACAGTCAATCACAGTACGGTCAAGTTAGCAGACGTGTGAAGTCTGAAGGATTCATGACAGTCAATCACAGTAGGGTCAAGCCAGATGACGTGTGAAGTCTGAAGGATTCATGACAGTTCATCAGCACCACCTCAAACCTTATTGTCCAGTGTATCACCGTAATAACTGTCAACAAACCAGCCTACAAACCACTGTGCTGTATTTGAACAGGTGAATCTCAGACCTTTCCAGTACCAGGCTCAACACACAAGTCATAATACCACTTACAAGTACGCTCACAGCCCTATGTTACAAATCCATTTAAGAAACGCACAGAGAGACACAATTCATTGAAAGTAAATATGACACAGCGCGCTCTAGCTCTTGTATGTCTATACAAATCAATGGACGTCCAGCTCTCCACATCGTGATGAAGGTATTAGCTGTCAGGGTGTGGCAATGTTTGCCTCCACTTGCGCTGTGATTGCCGCCGGTTACAGTGGCACGGGTAGGTGCGTGCAGGTAACACAGTTGATGCACAAATCCTGGATGTACAGTCTGTGCATAAACTGCTGCAACATGATGTCACTGTCCGACCCTAAGGCAGCTCCAAGTTAGGGAAATCACTACGGCATGGTATATTTCCTAAATTATAAAATCATGGACATCACATATTTCCTAAATTACAAAATCATGTCCCATATTTCAGACAATTACAAAGTCATGGACATCCCATATTTCAGACAATCATAAAGTCATGGATATCCCATATTTCAGACAATCATAAAGTCATGGACATCCCATATTTCAGACAATCATAAAGTCATGGATATCCCATATTTCAGACAATTTTAAAGTCATGGATATCCCATATGTCAGACAATTACAAAGTCATGGATATCCCATATTTCAGACAATCATAAAGTCATGGATATCCCATATTTCAGACAATCATAAAGTCATGGATATCCCATATTTCAGACAATCATAAAGTCATGGACATCCCATATTTCAGACAATCATAAAGTCATGGATATCCCATGTTTCAGACAATCATAAAGTCATGGATATCCCATGTTTCAGACAATCATAAAGTCATGGATATCCCATATTTCAGACAATCATAAAGTCATGGATATCCCATATTTCAGACAATCATAAAGTCATGGATATCCCATATTTCAGACAATCATAAAGTCATGGACATCCCATATTTCAGACAATTATAAAGTCATGGATATCCCATATGTCAGACAATCTTAAAGTCATGGATATCCCATATTTCAGACAATTACAAAGCCCATCACATCCATGATTTCCCAAATGTTCCATGATATTCTACATACAAGGGTGAAGCCTCAACACCTATTTGAATATTATCAATACAATGTTTAGTCTGCAAAGTGTGAATGGACACAAAATACACTAAATCCATTGGACATCAAAGAGTATGCATGTACAAAACTTTAAAAATAATTTCAATTGCAGCTTTTTATCTGATTTTTCTATTCAGATAGGAAATGCCAAGTTTGGAGAGACAGTGTCAGCTCTTCATCACCCAATCACAATGCTGTGATTTAAACAGAAAATTGCTCAACCCAGTGGGCCACCAATGCACACATAACTACTGCAGCTGCCATCTATACCACAGCTTGTCAGTGCATCTAATCACCAACAAAAGACAACTAAACATCCATGACACAGCTAGTTTTGATTTCACGGTGGCATCCAATTGTCTACACATGCCACTACCAATCTACTTATACCTACCTCAAAAAGATGTCTGTTGAATTCCATCTTCAACAAACAAATTCCATTTAGCAAATGCCAATAACTAAAAAGGCATAGTTCATTTTTGTTTTCAGAATAACAGTTTTGTACTCACCTCGTAGTATTCTTTGTTGGCAGCCATTTTTAAAGCACTAATCCACTCCTCCATCTCCCGGCGCGAATCACTGCACAAGATGAGGTTTCTGAAGGGGGTTATAACCTGAAATGAAGAGACAACGTCAGAAAGAAATCTTATATTACCCAAAAATGTCCTTCATTCCTGAAAATACATTCATCTAAAGTCAGAACGTAACATTAAGTCTTCCATCATCATTTCTCACACTTAAGATGACAAAAACATACCCTATATTTCTTTGAAGATCATGTGATATCACATGATATCATCATGAGATAACAATATTATTTACACCATCACTAAATGTCATTGTCCTCATTTTTGGATCACATCATCATCATCATCATCATCATAATCATCAGATAACACTATTTACACTGATACTACATGTCACTGTCCTCATTTTTGGATCACAACATCGTTATCATCATCATCATCATCATCATCATCATCATCGTCGTCGTCGTCGTCATCATCATCAGATGACAGCATCATCAACACCATCACTAAATGTCATTGTCCTCATTTTTTAGGATCACACCATCATTGCACTGTCCAGTGTGAAAGGTGTCCACGTCCACCTAAGATGGAAATTGTCCTTTGCCTGCTGACAATATATCACTGACTAAACACAACAGTCAAACAAGGCAACAGCATCCCAATAGGCTTTCAAATTATTACAATCATGAAAATACCCTGTCACCTCCGTTAGATACCACTGATATCCTTGTATATCCACATATATCACTCGTCATAATTCTTCCTGTTCAGATCACACAAACATAGAACTCAATAAAACATTCACATTCCTGTCAAGAATCCAGTTAAGAATTGGCCGTCTGCAGCATATACTGGCCGTGAAAGGCAGCTTAATGGTTCGAATGGTCAGTCTGGGGGACTTAGTATATTTCATTATTGCACCCCAAAAGTTTCAATCTGTGCTTGCTGGAACAATCACTGGAATTGTCTGGCCCAGACTCAACTATTCACCGGTCAGATGGTGAAAAGAGTTAACTGAAAACAAACTTAATAAATGATCTAAACTTTCACTTTCAAAAATACCACAATTATCCCTAAAATCAATAAGATGTCAGAATTGTCACAAATATCAGTTAAAACACCCAACACATAAAATATCCGTAAAGATTCAGGACAATACAAATGTACAATACAAAAAAAAACAACAATGTTCATTTCTGCAAAACAAACCTAAACTGATCATAAATCCTTACTACACTTCACTGCGTAGGCTACCAAAGTTCCTACCTCTGGGTCACCCCCAATGGCCTCCACACATGGTCTGCTCAAACCTCTCTACAACTCAGGTCTTGCACCAGCTTTGGTTCTAAAGACGACCTGTAAGCTTTTATAGACATCTACTCACCAGGGACTGTAATCAATAATGCTGAAATTATCTGACTAATGTCAAAGTTCAGCGACTAATAAAATATTTATCTACTGCCACTGATGGAACTCCAAGAGCCTGTTAATCGATCCTGGTACATATGTAAAAACAAAAGCTCTGCCACGACCGTTAAAGCACTGCTAATTAATCAGTTGACACAAGCCATATTCTGAATGACAGTTTTTGTGATTATGATTCAGAGCCCTTGAATTCAATAACTAAATTCCACTTTCAACTTTCGTTTTAAAAAAAAATAACATCATTTTTTATATCTTAAACATCATTAACACATTTCAGAGAAAATTCAATTGAGTCTTTTTATATAGCCCCTGGAGGTAGACATAACAAGCTAATTAACCCCGTTGTTGACAAGTCTTTGTTTCTTTAATTACACTGTGTGTAACAAGCTCATGGCATTGTGAACGGACATAGACAAAGATGAATACTATTCAGTACTACATCTGACCAAATCATGTCCTCTGGACATGTACAAGTTGTCCAGAATGCCTCAATATGGAAGTCAGGGAACTCTTCCAGGAGCGCCAACTGACCAATGAATCTCCCCTATATATCCTTCCTGGTGTGTATTCGGTTGGCACCACGATCCCCTCAACCCAAATGTTGGTTCACATATATGTTTACTTGTTAATGAACCTATTTTTTCAATAGAGAAAGCATATGAAACAGGTGCATGTTGCTTTTAAAACTATTCTTTTAATGAAACAAACATCAATCTCTGTACTTCCTTTAATCAACGGTGACATTTCCCATCGACAAACAATAACTGAAAATACATCAGATTATATAAATGATTTAAGCATGATTAAAATTATAACTATTTTTGTATTTATTGAAGGCTAAAAGATTATTCATATTCGTCAAATATATTTATTTTTATTTCTTTTATGTGAAGAGTTGATCAGGGAGGTCTCAACAAAACAAGTCCCATCCATTCTACTAGATCTTCCTGTATGTAGGCCAATCTCGGATTCAATCCTACAACCAACAGAGCAACTCTGCCCCACAGTGGCTTGAACTGCTTGGCCACCATAGCTACAGATTTATTTCACAGCTTTAAATACTCAGGTCTTTGAATGGCATTTAGAAGTGATGCACACAAGGAAGAGAGTGTTAGGGATGTCAACTTTTTTATTATGAATTCCTCATAATAAAGAAGTTGACATCCATAAAACTCCCTTCCTTGTTAAATACTGAGTTGGTTCCAACATTCCTTCACATCTAGTACAGTCAGTATTCATGAGGCATTGATGCACATTTTCACCAGACAATATGATACATGATACACCCAGCCATGTATCAATGTTATATTTGTGTATCATGTTCCACAGGTGATATCTACACAGTGCTGGAAGTATAAACAGACGTAGTCATCGCATTGTTTCACTGTCCACAGAATAACATGTTGGGAGGCTACACAAAGTGATAAATCAGATACAAAACTGAAACATCACATACACAGTGCTATGATCAGGTGCAAACTGACATCATCAGATACAAACTGATATCATTAAATACACTGTTATATAATTCAACACAAAGTGATACTATCAGATACAAACTGATATCATTAAATACACTGTTATATAATTCAACACAAAGTGATACTATCAGATACAATATGGTATCAGATACAAAGTGATATCATCAGATCCAATGTGATATCATCAGATGCAACATGATATCAGGTATAAAGTGATACAATCAGATACAATGTGATATTATCAGATACAAAGTCAGGGGTGGAAATAACTTTAAAATTGCTAGTGTACTCCGGTACAGTGGCACATGTAAAATCACTTGCCCTGATAATTTTTCCACTATACCGGCCGCTTTATTGTTGATTTTTTATATAAACAACATAATTAACACTGGAAAGTCAACTGGACACCAGTACAGTGTGATATACAAATGTGCTTGCCTGAAAAAAACACTGGACTCAGGCGTCGGGCAATGGGTTATTTCCACCCCTGAAAGTGATATCATCAGATCCAATGTGATATCATCAGATGCAATGTGATATCAGGTATAAAGTGATATTATCAGATACAATGTGATATTATCAGATACAATGTGATATTATCAGATACAATGTGATATTATCAGATACAATGTGATATTATGAGATACAATGTGATATTATCAGATACAATGTGATATTATCACATAATAATAATAATAATAGTGGGTATTTGTAACCGCGCCTATATCCGTGCATTCAATGCTCGCTCAAGGCGCTACAGCACACATATTATTACCCCGGATAACCCAAGCTGCCTGTTAGGCGCTAGAAGGTTATAGTCACATGACTTATCCCACCGGGTACCCATTTTCCTGCTGGGTGAACAAAGACAATGTTGAACAAACTCACTTGCCTAAGGTGAGACCACATGTGTCACATGTGCTTCGTTGTGGGGCAGGACTCAAGTCCTAGAAACTCTCAGGAGCCAAGCTGCCAAGCACGGTCACCCATCCAAGGACTCTCCGAGCTCGACGGTGCTTAACTTCACCGATTTGTGACCTGAGCTTTGAGCACAGGACCACGCGCCACCACAATGCAATGTGACATCAGGTATAAAGTGACACAATCAGATACAATGTGATATTATCAGATATAAAGTGATATCATCAGATACAATGTGATATCATCAGATGCAACATGATATCAGGTATAAAGTGATCTCATCAGATACAATATATTATGAGATACAAAGTGAAATGATCAGATACAAAATGCTATGATCAGATACCAAATCATATCATGGGATACAGAGAGACATCAAATACAAGTGGCATTAGATACAATCGCCTGATATAGAGACATCACCCAAAGTGATTTAGACCGTATATGGTCATAACACCCCAACTACAGCAGAGTCACTAAGATCAAGCATTACTCCCACAAACCTTCAGAGACTCCCGTTCCACACGTGTGAACGAACCATCCTCTCCCTTCCACAAACACAAGACCAGTCCTCGACACCATCACCGAGTAAACACACCAATAAGCAAACAACCACACAACTACAACTACCACCAACCTGTCATTCCACTCAACCGTCGTCCCAGGCAGAAAATCCACGCTCAATTTGTGGTCGTCATCATCTAATATCTCCGTTGACAATATCACGTGCAGCCACAATAACGAGTATGTCCACGAGCACTGATGCCGGTACTGCCAGCATCAAAGCCTCATTCTCCCAGTGGATACAGATCTGTAATTGCTTGCGGTACCTTGCCGCAAACTGCTAAGCAAACCCTATGGGGCTAATCCCATAGCAAACTGTGCGCCAGCCACGAACAGCATGGTGGAGGGATTGTGCATACCTTCAAAGACTTCAAATAGGATCTGGTTAATAATCTGGACCTTCAAGAACCAGATCTGAGGGTTGGAACTGAGTGGAATGACATTTTTTCTTCAAACTGATTCAGCAGATATGATCCAAACATTACTTGTACATGTCACGCCTTGTCAGATTGAGGTTCTATAATTGCTATATTACATGTGTACATATCCTGATATATCACTTCATGAGTAAAACAGTCAAAGTATATTTCTATGGAATTCCCTTTCATTCAAATTCTACCTGCAACGAAACAATGTCAAGTAATGCTTCATCAAAAGGTTTCACTGCTGCTAAATACGATATATATGAGTTTT